TTGGACCCGTGTCCCTCCTGGTTGGTGCTGGCCTCCCAGGAGGTTACACGAGGCTGGTTCCAGGGGATTATCAACGCTTCTTTGAGCGAGGGTGTCCTGCCGGCCGCCTTGAAAGAGGCGGTGGTAAGGCGTCTCCTCAAGAAGCCATCCCTGGATCCGGCTGTTTTGGCTAACTATCGTCCAGTCTCCAACCTTTGCTTTATTGCGAAGGTTGTTGAGAGTGTGGTGGCGCAACAGCTTCCCCAGTACCTGGATGAAGCTGTCTATCTGGATCCGCTCCAGTCCGGCTTCAGACCTGGGTACAGCACGGAAACGGCATTGGTCACGTTGGTGGATGATCTCTGGAGGGCCCGGGATAGGGGTTATTCCTCTATCCTGGTCCTATTAGATCTCTCAGCGGCTTTTGATACCATCGACCATGGTATCATGTTGCGCCGGCTGGAGGGACTAGGAGTGGGGGGCACCGTTTTGCGGTGGTTCTCCTATCTCTCCGACCGGTCGCAATCCGTGTTGACAGGGGGGCAGCGGTCGACCCCAAGGCGCCTTGTTTGTGGGGTGCCGCAAGGTTCGGTCCTCTCGCCCCTTCTGTTCAACATTTATGTGAAGCCACTGGGTGAGATCATCCGTGGTTTTGGGGTGGAGTTCCATCAGTACGCTGATGATACTCAGCTGTACATTTCCACCCCAGACCATCCCAATGATGCCTTGGAAGTGATGTCCCAGTGCCTGGAGGCCGTGCGGGTCTGGATGGGGAGAAACAGGCTTCGACTCAACCCTTCCAAGACTGAGTGGCTGTGGCTGCCGGCGTCCTGGTATAGCCAGCTGACGCCATCGCTGGTTATTGGGGGCGAATCATTGGCCCCCACGGAGAGGGCCCGCAACTTGGGTGTCCTCCTGGATGCGCGGCTGTCTTTAGAAGGGCATATGACAGCCGTGGCCAGGGGGGCTTTTTGTCAGGTTCACCTGATACGCCAGTTGCGCCCCTTTCTGGACCGGGACTCCCTACGCACGGTCACTCAAGCACTCGTCACTTCTCGTCTGGACTATTGTAACGCTCTCTACTTGGGGTACACCCGGAGGCTCCAACTGGTGCAGAATGCGGCCGCGCGGGGGATTATTGGAGCGACGGGGCGCTCCCATGTGACTCCTCTCCTGCGCGAGCTGCATTGGTTTCCGGTGGACTTCCGGGTGTGCTTCAAGGTGTTGGTGATCACCTTTAAAGCGCTCCATGGCTTAGGGCCAGGGTACTTACGGGACCGCCTTCTGCCACCAATAGCCTCCCACCGGCCGGTTCGCTCCCACAGAGAGGGCCTCCTCAGGGTGCCGTCAGCCAGACAATGCCGGCTGGCGACCCCCAGGAGGAGAGTCTTCTCTGTGGTGGCACCTACCCTTTGGAACAATCTACCCCCAGAGATACGAGTGATCTCTGACCTCCGGACTTTTTGTCGGGCCCTAAAAACTTATTTTTTTCAGTTAGCCGGTCTGTCTTGATTTTAGGGTTAGTTTTAAAATTTTAATATTGATTTTAAATTGACAAATTTTAAATTATGGGCCAAATTTATAAATTATTTTAACTTTATTTTTAACTGTGATGTTATGTGTAGATGTTTTTATTTTGGCTGTTCACCGCCCTGAGTCCGAAAGGAGAAGGGCGGTATAGAAATTTGAATAATAAAATAAATAAGCCACAAAAAGATCCACACAGGGGAGAAGCCATAGAAATGCATGGATTGTGGAAAGAGCTTTGCTCAGAATGGTCCTCTTATTTCTCATAGAAGGATCCATGCTCTGGAGAAACTATATAGCAATAGCGATTCCACTTAGATTTATATACTACTCCACAATGCTTTACCACTTTATCTCTGAGCAGTTTACAAAGTCAGCATATTGTCCCCAGCAATCTGGGTCCTCATTTTAGCGTCCTTAGAAGTATGAAAGGCTGAATCAACTATTAAAAGTAATCTATACGAGTTCAAGATGTTTTCAATAAAATGCCAATTTGAAACTGTTCAATTTCCACTTATTTAAAATGCTCCATCCATTTTCTTGCTGAAATATTTCTTCTCATCCAGAATTTGCATTTCTTGCTCACTCACGATTTTCACTTTGTAAAGCCGCTGCCTTTTTTTAGCTATTCCACAAAGATCTTTAATGTTCCCGGATGCAAATGGGCTTATGATGAAAAAAACAAGAACAACCCACACCTGAAATGTTGTTCTTTCGGTGGCAACCAGATTAGAGCTCTGCTTCAAATCAGAAATAACAAATTGAGCGGTCTTCAGCATTATAGAATTAAGTTATTAAAAACAATCCCTCAACAGTGAGAAACACTTAGCAAAGTACTCTGAGCTGGAGTGAACCTTTAAAGGACCCTCTTGGGGGGCTCACCAGGGGTGGGTACTAAAATTTTTTACTACCAGTTCTGTGGGTGTCGCTTATTTTGTGGGCGTGGCTTGGTGGGAGGTTAATGTAACTGGATGGGCGTGGCCATTTAAAAAAAACTTTTAAACCTTAAGAGGTTGTAGAAAAAATGCTTTTAAAGGTAAAAAAAAAAAAGCCTCTGATGAGGTGGGCAGGGTAAGCGAGCAGCGACCGGGCCAGGAACCGGTTTGGGGGCATGGCCAGCCAATGTTATTACGGGTTCTCCGAACTACCAGAAATTTTTACTACCGGTTCTTGTGAACCGGTGCGAACCAGGAGCAACCTACCACTGGGGCTCACCCAGATCCTCCCATTAATCCATCTAAGAATTGTGCCAGTTAGAGAATTTGGTGAAGGAGGAGATCAAGAGGGATCCAGTTGAAGGATGTGTGGTGATCCCTGGATCTTACTGATTCAGCCTCTATCTGCCCCCACCTTCCCTTTCCCCAAGATCCCCCCCCCAATCCCTTCCACACTTCTTGCCGCCAGTGGTGAGTTGGCCCCGATTTGCGCCAGTTCTATAGAACCGGTAGTAAAACCGACGGGAGGCTCCGCCCACTGACCCCGACGTCACCAAAATGCTTCTGCGCCTGAGCAAAAGAGCGCGCGAGCGAAGCGAGTGCACGCAGCCCCGTTGCAAACCGGTAGTAAAGGTAAGTAGAACCCACCCCTGCCTGCCACCTCCATCCCGGCCAAGCTATCATCTGGGACTCGGACCCCTCCCCACCTGGAAGGAGGCCAGCCAGCTGCAGGCAGAGCCTGGTCTGGGGGGTCTCCCTTTGCATTCCCCCAAATCCCCCCCTCAGCAAGGATCTTGGCATGGCTTTGCATGGTCAGTCAGTCCCATGTGGCATCTGAAGTAACCAACTTGGTGTTCCGTTCTGGGTCCTCCTGTGCCTCTCCTGTGCCTCCTTCTCTTCCTTCCCTCCAGCCAAGCCCACCGTCACCATCTCCTCCACCACAATGGACCCCGCTTCCCCCAACACCATCCTCCTTGTGCACCACGATGGGCTTTTACCCGTTGAGGTCCAGTGGCTGAAGAACAGGTGGCCGGACAAGGAAATTTTGGAGATTTTGGGCAGCTTTTCCTTACAGAGACCTGAAAAAGTATTGCAATGAAAAAGAAAAGCACACACAAACACTAAAATCTTGCCCAGAATTTTTCCACGTTTTGGGAAATTGCAAATGGGAAGGGAAGGAGGAGGGAAATTCCTTCCCATTCCTCCTTTGGGGAGTGAGCACCCCAACTTTGTGACCAGTTCTTCTTGACCCCCCTTTTCCTTGTGACATTTGACTCAATTTCTAGCTAAACGACCCCCAGGCTCCCTCCTTTGCTGCCACCCCCATCCTAGCCCCATCTTCTCTGTTCGTATGAAACTTCTGCAGAGTGGGAGCAGGGGAAGTGGGCCCTCCCTCCTTGATTAACCCTCTAATTAAGTCATTTAGGGAGAATTCCAGAATCCCCTGCAGATGAAATGGGGAGGAATCCCTGGTCCTTCCCAGCCTTTTCCTCCCTGAAATGGGCAGATTCTCCCTCTATCTGTCCCTGCCTATCAACCACCCCCCTGCAGTGTGGGCCTGCCTTGGGGGAGGGGGTTGAAAGGGAATAAAAACATGTTATTCTCCCTGGAGCTGCATCGAGAGAATCCAGGATAGGATGGGTGTTGCTCGGTTCTGCCTGGAGACGGAGCACGTGATTATAATTTGCACATGTAGTCCCTCCTTCCTCGCCTGGTGCTTCCCCAGTTCGGCTCAGTCTTCAGCGCAGAGAGACATGTTTGAATGATCAGCTTCACCTTTCATTCTGTGATCATCTAAGCATGAGCTTTCGAAGAGATTTATTATTGTAATTGTGAGGATCGCTTTTGCGATCAGGCTGCTAGCTGGTCCGCTGGCTAGCGGCCTTGTGCCGGCTTTTCTACAGACAAGATCCTCACCAGCTATGGTTAGTCATAGGGTCTTTGTAGGCCAGCTTCTGTTTGAGCCGAGGCCCAGGCATTCCCACCGGAGGGCAGAGGGAACCAGTGCCTGCCCACTTCGTCTGGGCACACTGAAGCAGCTAGAGTGCATGGGAGTGCAATTTAGAGTCACGGCACCTTCAGCCCTTCATGGGCCGGCTTGCCTTCAGAGGTATGGGGCCTCCAACCAGAGGGCTGCAGCAAAGGGAGCGACAACCAGGAGCCAGGCAGCCACTTCGAGTGGCAAGAGGGACTCCAAATTGGCCGAAAAAAACACAGAAAGGCGTCAAAAGGCCTTGGAGAAAGAGCTAGCCAAGCTCCAGAAGGCTAAAAAGAGCCAGGAGCGAAGTGACCCCCCACCCCCACCCAGAAAAGGAGCGGAACTTTCCCGCCCTGAAGGAGATGAGTCATTGGAGCCTATTAATGATCCGGCTCCTTTGCAAACAGCCTCTTACAGTTCCTGGTCACCAGATGGCACCAGAGAGCCGTCTTCTCCAACCTTAGGAGAGGTTCTGGATAGAGTGGAAGCAGTTTGCCTGCAGCAAGTTTTGCAGAGCTACGCCTGCATACTGTTAGGTTGGGTGAATGAGGACGCAGCAAGCCAGGGTAGTGAGTGACAACAGCTCTTTATTGTATGGTGAGAACCCAGCGACTGACCCAGGGAGCCAGCTCTCTTTATATACCTTGCAGCTGTGGTGGTCAGCCAATCAGCTGATGGTCAGTTAATTCAAACTTCCCGCCTAGAAAACCTATTTACATAACACTCCTCCCCTCCCAGAAGTCACTTAGGTGTTATTTGCATACAAAGTCTCTCAGGTGACTAGGGCGTGTACGTATCCTAGTCGACCTGCGCAGTTCAGTCGGAGGGGCGGCGTCGAGCAGGTTGGAGGGACTCCCTGTTTCTCCCTGCTCCGCCAATGGAACCTCCGAGACTTCTTTGTGGGTGGCGACTTCCCCGGTGGGCCGGACCTCCTCGATGGGGCAGCGCTGGATGCCAGAATCGTCAGCTAAGTCCTCCGCTCTGCCCGGGCTTGATGTAGTTTGTGGTTCTGGTTGGTAGTCAGGGATCGGTTCGTCGAATCTTTCCTCGGCGTCTGCGGCTATTCGTTTCCTCAGCTGATCAATGTGCCTGCGCCAGACTCTCCCATCCCCCATGTCAACCCTGTACGATTTGGGCCCCGTAATTTCTGTAATTGTTCCTGCCTCCCAGAGTGGGCCCCTCCCGTAGTTCCTGGCATGCACCAGGGTTCCTATGGCGAATTCTCTGAGCTTCCTCTCCTCCCCCTTGAAGAACTACTGGAGAGTAGTTGGGATCGAGTCTATCTAACACCCCTCGGAGCTTCCGTCCCATTAAGAGCTCTGCCAGACTTCGGCCTGTGGCTGTACAAGGTGTGGAGTGCTGTGCTGTTAGGAATTTATCTACTCTTTCCTGCCAATCCCCGGGGCCTAGCCGTGAGAGGGCCTCCTTGGCTGATCTCACAAATCTCTCAGCCTGACCATTACTAGCCGGATGGAACGGGGCTGAAAGGACATGTCTGATCCCTAGGTCCGCTAAATACCCCTCGAATTGTGTCGCCGTGAACTGTGGCCCATTGTCCGAAACTAGGATGTCCGGTAACCCATGGGTGGTGAATAACTGTCTGAGCTCCCTGATAACTGTGTCAGTGGTAGTGGCCTTCATTAGCTTAATCTCCAGCCACTTGGAAAATGCATCTACGATGACCATGAAGGTCTGTCCGTGAAACGGGCCGGCAAAATCTATGTGGATTGTGGACCAGGGTCCCTGGGGTCTTTCCCACTCCCTCACTGGTGCTGTTGGCGGATCTGGCCTAGACTCCTGGCAGGGCTGGCATCTCCCCACCCACTCGGTAATGTCTGCATCCATATTGGGCCACCAGACGTAGCTCCTGGCTAGCCCCTTCATCCGAACAATCCCAGGGTGCCCCTCATGCAACAACATTAACACTTTCTCCCTTAGGCACAAGGGAATAACGACCCGATCGCCCCATAGCAGACACCCCCCTTGCATAGTTAGTTCATCCCGTTTGTTCGCGAACTGTTTAAATTTCCCGCTCCCAATCCTTTCCGGACACCCCCTCATGACCCAACTTGCGACCGTCCGGATCATGTGGTCCTTGGTTGAAGCTCTCGCTACTTCTGCTGATGTAATGGGTCCTGAGTCCAATACGTCTATCAGCAGGATTGGAATGCCGGGTGTGGGGTCATCTAGGTTGTCGGGTAGTGGGCATCGGCTGAGTGCGTCCGTGTTGCCCATGTCCGCCCTTGGTTGATGTACCAGGCAATATGAGTATGCCGCGAGTAAGATGGCCCAGCGTGTCATCCTGGGCGATAGGGCTGCCGGTGTTGGTCGGTCTCCCGCGAGGAGACCCAGGAGCGGTCGATGGTCGGTGATCAGGTCAAAGTCCCTCCCGAATAGGTATTCGTGAAACTTTTTCACTCCCGAAACGGCAGCGAGGGCCTCCTTGTCAAGCTGGCTGTAATTTCTCTCGGCACTTGACAGAGTTCGGGAGTAGTAGGCGATGGGTGCCTCTAGGCCATTCGGGAGTCTATGGCTCAGGACGGCTCCCACCCCGAACGGAGACACGTCACAAGCTAAAACAAGGGGAAGCGTGGAGTTGTACTGTATTAGAAAACTTTCAGCTGACAGCAGTTTCTTAATGCCCACGAATGCCTTGTCTTCAGTCTTCCCCCATTTCCAAGTGGATTTTTTGGCTAACAGTCTGTGTAGGGGTTCAGCCACTATTGCCTTGTCTTTCAGGAAGATTGCATAGAGGTCCACAGTGGCTCAGGAATAGGGCCTTCTTTCGAACGTCCGGTAGCCCTTGCAGGTCGTTGGCCATCATGAAACACTCGAACCGGGACATGTAGGATCCCCACTTTTCCTCCTTGGGGTTGAAAGGCGCTGGCAGTGTGTAGGCAGACATCATCTCGTGATTCTCCTGTGCTCCGCTCGCTCGCCTGGCTGGATTCAGGATGCGGTCGCTCCGTATCTCTCTCGGAACATGGTCTCAGTTTTTTCTCGATTGCGGCTTCAGCTCCTTCCTTGGCTTCTGGCCTCAAAATCCCATCCTCATCGCCAGCATGGAAGACCATGAGGGGGGGAATACCATCGGAGGATCCAGAACATCTGAACAAACTCTAGGAACAGATCACGGTGAAAGGGGGTGTTGCGTTAATAAGCGCTAATAGTGGGTAATGGACGGGACACAAGAAGAGGTGGGGGGGTGGACTGATGAAACAAGTGGTAGATTCGAGTGTAACAGCTGAGAAAGATTGCCTGGGGATAGATAATAATAATAATAATAATAATAATAATAATAATAATAATAATAATAATAATAATAATAATAATAATAATAATAATAATAATAATAATAATAATAATAATAATAATTTTATTTCTATACCGCCCTTCTCCCGAAGGACTCAGGGCAGTGTACAGCCTATTTAAAAACAGAATAAACATCAATTTAAAATAATTTAAAAGTATTAAATAAATTTGGCTTAATTTAAAACCCCAAAAATTTAAAACATCCAATTAAAAATTATGTTGCTAACCCAGCCTGGCGGAACAATAGGGTCTTGAGTGTGCAGCGAAGTACCCGGAGGTCAGAAATCTTATGAATTTCTGGGGGCAGTTCATTCCACAGCGCTGGGGCTCCCACAGAGAAGGCCCTCCCCCTGGGTGTCGCCAGCCAACATGACTTGGCCGATGGCACCCTGAGGAGACCCTCTCTGTGGGAGCGAACTGGCCTGTGGGAGGCTATTGGTGGCAGAAGACGGTCTCGAAGGTACCCGGGTCCTATGCCATGGAGCGCTTTAAAGGTGGTGACCAACACCTTGAATCGCACCCGGAAGACCACTGGGAGCCAGTGCAGCTCGCGCAGGAGGGGTGTCACGTGGGCGCAACGGGTTGCACCCATAACCACCCGCGCGGCCGCATTCTGGACCAGTTGGAGCCTCCGAGTGCTCTTCAAGGGGAGCCCCATGTAGAGAGCATTGCAATAGTCCAACTGGGAGGTAACAAGGGCGTGAGTGACTGTGCGCAGGGCGTCCCGATCCAGAAAGGGCTGCAACTGGCAAATCAGGCGAACCTGATAAAAGGCCCCCCTGGCCACGGCCGTCATATGTTCTTCTAAAGACAGCCGTGCGTCCAGGAGGACACCCAGATTACGAGCCCTCTCTGTGGGGGGCAAAGATTCACCCCCAATAGTCAGCGATGGCACCGGCTGACTATATCGGGACGCCGGAAGCCACAACCACTCGGTCTTGGAAGGGTTGAGTCTGAGCCTAATGAGTTAATGAGTTAATGAGGCCCTATAAAACCAACCAAGCGGGAAGCTTGGGCGTCTCCGTCTTTAACTTTTTGCTAAGCAGCTCAGTGTCTACTATTCGTTGCTGTAGTCGCTTTCATTAAACCAGGTTTTGAACCACAGCTTATATCGTGGGTGCGTATGTGTGTGTGTGTGTTCCTTCACGCCTGGCGAAGCACCAGAGGCTCCAGAGGGGCTGAGAAGGACATTGAATGCGGCCAAATTTGCCTCACCGGCCATAGCATCTTTAATTACTACCTATTGCCTGTTTTGACTTAAGCACTGGCAAGCTGACAACAAAAACAAATGGAAATTGGCTTCAGCTCCCTTTACAGGCAACAAATTATTTGGAGAAGTTCTGGACCGTATCCTGGTTGAGACCAGAGGCAAAGGTAATGTCGAAGCATAAATCAGCCTCGTTCCCCCTCGGGGGTAATTGAAATTAATTAGAGGTGGATGGACCTTGTTTTCCAATGCTGTATACTTATAAAAGAAAAAACCGAAGTATATATTCTAATAAGTATTTTATTTATAAAAAGCAAACAAAACTAGATAACTACATTTTTACTGGACAGCTCATCTCAGGGACGAACAAAGGAAGTGTAAGTCAGGAAGTTAGAAAAGAAAGAATGTGGACATGCGCAGTAGCCCAATGTTTCACAAGACCAGTCTTATCTCAGTTGCTATAGGTACTTCATAAGGTTCTCAGGCAGGCTACCGTAAATCTCAGAATGGATGCTCAGCTGGCAAACACTTAACGCAGTGACAACCCTTTCTTTGTCAGTTGAGCGGACATCAGGTATAGCCATCAAATAAGGCACACCTTCTTACGCAGATACTCGTGCTGAGCTGCTGGAAGCGGTTTGTTGAGCATGTCAGTAATCTGATCATGTGTAGGCACATACTGCAATTTAACAAAATCTTGTTTCACTAATTGTTTTATATTTTTGTAACGGATTTCAATGTGTCTGGACCTAGAACCCGTGAAACGTGATTCAGAAATATAAACCACAGATTCATTGTCTTCCATCACGGTGATCAGTCAGATCGGGTGTGTCCAGATATCTGTGACCAATGCATCAAACCACGTTAGAGAATTACATGCATGTGAAACACAAGCATATTCAGCTTCAGTAGATGATGATGATGATGATGATGATGATGATTTATTTTGTATACCGCCCTTCTCCCGAAGGACTCAGGGCGGTGAACAGCCAACAGATAAAATACAGAAAATACAAAAAATTTAAAACAGTATTAAAAACCAATTAAATTAATTTGGCCCACAGTTAACAGATGAACAATTTGGCCCACAGATGAACAAGAAACAAAATTCTGTTTACGCACTTGCCAGTAAGCAGGACATCCATTTAAGAACATCATATAACCTGAAGTACTTTTACGTGATTTCTTATCACTCGCCCAATCAGAATCTGCATAACAACATAATTCTGCATAATCAGTATGTGTCGGTTCTAACAATAACCTCATATGTTTAGTGTGTTTTAGGTATTTCAATATTTTCTTAACCCATGTCCAATGAAACTGTTTTGCCTTACCTACGTGTCGAGACAAGAGATTAACACTAAGTGCAATGTCAGGTCTAGTCCAACTACTAATATACAACAGTGACCCAATAACTGAAGGATACAGTGTTTGATCCTCGAACTCAGGACTTGGTTCATGTGCCAGGTTGTGAAAATCTGTTTGCATGGGTATGCTTCCTGTATTAGCATCTTTCATGTTGCAATGATGCAAAATTTGTTCAATTTTATCCTCTTGTGAAAGACTAAACCCCTTCTGTGTTTTGTCAATCTGAACACCTAAATAAGTGTTAACATGACCTAAAGATTTCAATGTAAAATATTTCTGCAAAGCTTTAGCAAAATTCTCACTCATCTGCTTATTTGGGCCAATGTAAACAATATCATCAACATAAACAAGAACTATCTCATACATATTGTCAGTTCTTTTTGTAAACACGCATTCATCAGTTTCGGACTTAATAAAGCCAGGCTGGGTTCCCACAACTTGCAAAATGTAACTTGCTAGTTACATTTGGCCACTTTTATCGCCACTAGGTAGGTCATAATATAGGACCTTACCAGTGTTCGTTCGGATTCAGAATGGCTGGCCTTCCAACCACTCTCCAGGCGTCTTTTCCAGCACTTCATCTCTCTCAGCTCCTCAGAGAACCAAGGAGCCAATTGAGAATAGTGCCGGGTCAGAGGCCGCAAAGGCACGACGCGATCCAAAGCGCCAGCGGCCACCCTCTCCCAGACTGCCACTAGTTCTTCAGTCGAGCCGTGAGCCAGAGCCTCAGGGAATGGCCCAAGCTCCATCAGGAACCAATCCGGGTCCATCAGGCGTCTGGGACGGAACCATCTAACCGGTTCTGTCTCCCTGCGGCGAGGGTTAGTGGTTTGAAAGTTCAGTTGGAGGAGTGAATGATCAGACCATGACAAGGGCTCGATGACTAAATCCCCTATTTCTAGATCATTCTGCCACTGACCAGAGACAAAAATCAGATCCAGAGTGTGTCCTCCCGTGTCTGTGGGGCCATAAACTAACTGGGTCAGGTCCAAGGCCGTCATGGAAGCCATGAACTCCCGAGCTGCCATAGACGTTTCACCGACCGATGGCAAGTTGAAATCCCCCATAACCATAAGCCTGGGGGTATCAACTGCCACCCCTGCTATCACGTCAGGCAGCTCGGGTAGGTCCGCTGTTGCATAGCAGGGAGCTAGATACACAATCAGCAGGCCCACCTGCACCCCCTGACCCCACTTCACAAGGAGGGACTCACATCGGCTATCTGAGGAACAGTGGCCTCCCTCGGACAGAGACTTTCATTAATAATAATCACCGCCACCACCCCCGCCCCTACCCTGAGCCCTCAGCCAGTGAGATGCCCGGAAACCTGGTGGGCATATTTCAACAAGGGGCACCCCCCCTTCCAGACTCAGCCAGGTCTCCATAATACCCACCAGGTCCGCACCCCCCTCCTGAATAAGATCGCAAATGAGGGGGGCTTTATTTACCACGGACCCTGCGTTGCACAACCACTGAGGCCATAGCTGAGTCAGCCTGCAACCTAGAACACCAGGTACAGAAGGCCCACCAAGTAGCATTGTAAACTCTGGTAGTAGACTTCCGTCTGGATGCCTGAATAGTTTGGATCACTTTTGGTGAGAAATATCTTTGCCTCAGGGCCCGCCACTCAATCGCCAGGCAGTCAGTTAGAGCCACTGAGGCTCCGGGAGTATCAATACTTCCTGACTGAGTGAGATCTTGTTGTGTGGTATTCGCCAAGGGTGAACCACAGACAGGGTCACCAGGTCCGCAAACCATGGCGTCCTGGGCCAGTGAGGCGCTATCAATATCACCTCTGCCTTTTCCTCCAGCATCTCCCATCTCTGTGGGGGCACCGACGATCTGGAATGAGCTCCCCCCAGAGATACGGAGGATTCCGGATCTGCGCACCTTCCGCCGTGAGTTGAAAACACTTTTATTTCATCAAGCTGGCCTCGCCTAAATCTTCTCCCTTTTAAGTGTAAATTTTAAATTTTTAATGTATTTTAAAATATGGGTATCTTAAATTATGGGTATTAATTCAGCCAAATTTATTTAATTCATTTTATTCGATTTTAAATTTTGTATATCTATGTGTTTTATTTCATGGCTGTGCACCGCCCTGAGTCCTTCGGGAGTAGGGCGGTATAGAAATTCAATAATAATAAAAAAAATCTTCGTGATGACTGCTGGAATTAGAGGAAGTAGAGGAAAGACGTATAGAAGACCCAGAGGCCACGGTATGCGAAGGGCATCTATCCCCTCTGCGCCATGAGCCTGGTACCTGCTGAAAAACCATGGTAACTGGGAGTTTTATGGGGATGCGAAAAGATCCAGGACCGGGGTTCCGTATCTGTGAGTCAGCTGTTGAAACAGTGAGGGATGCAGGCGCCATTCTGCATGGTCTACCATCACCCTGCTAAGACTGTCTGCCTGCACATTCAGGGCCCTTGATGTATGTTCTGTCTGTAACTATAGGTGTCGCTCTGCCCAGCGACCCAGATGGCCTGCCT